CCTTAGCAAGCATCCGTTGTTCCCACGAACCTCCATACTAGCCTCAGCACGTTCACGAACTCCACGACTCCAAAGTACCCGGAAACAACCTGAATATGATACAAAATGCAAGGAACATGTGTATGCTGGTGCGAGAATGCTCTAGTATCCTAAGTGATTCAATCTAGCCTAAAGTGTGATGTAAATGCATGAAAAGCTAACTAATATGTATGCAAAACACATGCAATATGCAGTAACATCATTGCACTACTAAGTTTTTCATATGTTTTTTCATAATACATGGTTGGGACTATTCCGTCTTTAATACAGTTATAATCTGCTCCTGTATCGAGTAATGCAATTATATCTAGTTTATAATCGTATCCTATGTGCAATGTAATTTTTGTATACCATTTTTGATAGTTTATTTTGTTTGTTATTTGAATATATTTTTCTTCAGCTTTAATTTGTTCTTTGTTTTGACTGTTACTTGTAGATGCGTGATCGGGTATGGTGGATATCGATTGGTGAATTTTTGGTTCAATCAAGGTTAAACGAGCATTCATCTGTAATTGTTCTAATTGTTGTTGATGAACTATATGTTGTAGTTCTTTTACTTGAGATTTTAAATTTTTAACTTCTCCTTGTAGTTTTCCAGTAGTTACTTGTTTAAATAATGTTGGAGAAGGGTATTTCTCAAGTATTTTATTAAGGCTAAATGGTTCTGGAGTATATAGCTTATTTGTTTTATGTACTATATCCTTTAGTTTTAATAAATATTCTTTCTTAGTTTCAGGATCATCTATTTTATCAATTATATCTAGTAAAAATTGTTTATCGATATCCTTAGTGATCACATTTATAGTTTTGCAGTTGTAAATATTATCTGAGTAATTATCAGATGATGATTCGCTTTGATCTTCTATAATATCTAAGGATGATTCACTACTAAATTTTTCTGAATCTTCTGTTTCTGAAAGAAGTAATTTTTCTAATTTCTCTCTAATGTCTTGGTTATCGTGAAAAATCTCATTAATTTTCTTTTTCATTTTACATTCGGTTGATTTATGTCCTGGTCTTTTACAGTTCCAGCAAATAATTTTTTCCTTTTTAGTTGAATTTTTTGGTATTCTGTTTTTTGTATAATAAGGGTTAGAAATTTTTTTGGAAAAGTTTTTGTTTTTACTATATGGACGTAGATGTGAAAATCTACTTTGTTTGTAAATTTTGCGTCTTTCTCTAGATGGTGAGGTTAGACGGTGGTAACCATATTGTTCACAGAATGAACCCATAGTTTCTCCGAATTTAAATTTATTGGTTTGTTGTTTATTTTTATGTTCTTCACAAATTTGTAATCCTTCTTTTTTAACAAAGGCAAACAATTGATCGTAGGTTATTGAATCCCATGGTATTGGTTGTCCTCCTGAAAAATCTTTTAATTTACTTATTAATCTTTCTGCAAAGAAAGAAGGTAATCCTGCTATAAACCTTTCTTTCCAAAAAGGTTGATTACAATCATTTCTTTAAAATATATTAGTTATAAAAATATCTTTATACCACTTAAAGTCTCCTAAAGTTGGACATCTAAGGTTTGTTAGGACAAGTTTTTTACTAGTTAGTTCTTCTGAGGGATTTCCTACAAAGTGCATAGTCATAGTATAGAGTAGTACTTCTATAGCATTTTGAATTTGTTCTTCTTCATATAATCCATCGTCACCTTCTACTCTTCTAGTTTCAGTATGATTTATTATATTATCTTGAGCTATAGTATCTAAAGCATTATCCCACCAATATTTTAATGCTCTATTAAATCCTGAAACTAAAAGGACACACGCTTGTTTGTCTGATAAGCCTTTAGCTTTATACGCCAAACCAGCAATTCCCATTTCTTGAAATAAATTCACCATTTCATATTCTGATCTACCGTCTATATTCCATTCATATATACCTTCTCCAGTATAAAAATTTGCAGTAGGGAATTTATGATGTTCATCAAATAAAAGGTCAGGTGGAGAGTGTCTAGGGTAATATGGTTTTGTAGATGGTTGAAATTTTCTTTTTATACGATTAATTTATACTTCTTCTTCAGTATCAGTTTGACTATTTTCATCAATGTTATTAATTTCTTTATTTTTATCTAGTCGATCTAGTCTATTTGAAATAGATTTTAAAATTTCATTTTCTGGAAGTTTCACTGGTTTTGTTAAATGCTTGAATAGAGGTGGTGATATAGAGTTAAATGGATATGAAAATGGTTGGTAACCCATGATTAATTTATTTTTGTCATTTTCTAATTTGTTATCTATATGGTCCATTTGTCTTGAAATGGTGTGAAGTATTTGACTATGGTAATTATTTTGTTCATAAACAATTTTAATATGGGCCATACTTATTGGGTCTCTATCATCTCTATTTGATCCAGTTCTAAATGGTGTAGCTACTACTTGTCTTTGGAGTGTATGAAGTTTTAAATCCTTTAAAGGTGGATGAACTGATTTAAGTTTTTTCCCATTAGTCATTTCCCAAGTATTATACAAGGTTGAGCTAGTGTTAATTGATTCACTTTTATAAGGGTAGTAAATTTCATTTTCCAAAGAATATGTTTCAAACCATGTGAAAAATGGAATATTAGTTTCCATAAATTTCATATGATCATACTATATTTCCCGATACTTAATAGTGGTTTTGTTGGTAAATGTTTTAAAATATCATTGTCTTTTATTTGTATTCTGATTAGATAAAAATTCTTCTTTAAGGTATTGTTTATTTATTTCAAATTTATTTGAAATAACGTTTATAGATTTGAAATCAGAGGGTGTTGGAGATGTAGGAAAACTAGATCCTACTTCAGAATTCTGAACTGGTTCTGTAATAGGTGCTTGAAAATTAATAGGTCTTTTCTCCTGATTTTTAGTTAAGATTTGTTCTACACTTTCTTCTGATTCTGTGCTAGTTCTACCAGTTCTATAATCAGAAAAAGAAGATCTAGGATAAAATGAGCTAATTCTTAATGAAGGTGGTTCTCTAAAAGATCCAAATTTTAATAGTATTTTTCGATCAATTTTTTCTGTTATACTAGTAATAGTTTTTTGTTCAAAGTTTCTTGGTGGTTGAGTAATATCGATTTTTCATTGGTCAGAAATTGTTATTTCTGTCTATTTTAGTTGCTTGAGTGTATAAGTGGATGTTGGAGTATCTTTACTATGTACTGCTAATATTGTTGTTTCACCTTTATTATCTTGCAATAAACATCTTGGATTAAATTCAGATGTAGATTGTTTGAAATAAATTCGATATAATAATAAATAGCCATGTCTCTCTTGTTGAAATTTAATTTCTGGTAAGTGTACATTTAATACTAATGTATTAAATATAGTAGGATCATATAAACTGACTTGAAAGTTTGGAGCACAATTAAAATATACAGCTCCGTTGCATAAATTTAATTGTACAGCTCCTAATAAGGAGTCTTCAAATTTTAATAAAGTTTTATCTCTTAATAGCATAAGTATAGGAAAATCTATTCCAGTTCTAGATAATGGTTTTATTGCTATTTGTATTAATCCAAAATGAATATAATTAAATTTCTTTTGCCTATAACTTTCTAAGACCATAGAAGAAGCAATTTAATTTCTTCAAATTCATTTTGTAATGATATAGTTTGTTCATGTTCTTTAATTGAATATGCTGTTTTAAAATCCAAAGTTCCTATTTGATATATATTTTCTGGATTAACATGAGGTAATTGATCATGAGATATTTCTTATTAAAAGTGGTAATTTTTTACATTATTTCTCTTGAATTAATTGTTTTTTGAAATGCAGAAGAAGATGCATGTTTAGACTTAAGCCACTTTCTAACAGAAGATGTCATGCTTTAAACTTTACTTAGACTCGAGACAATATGCATACTAACCCGGACTTATCAAGGACGGACGTTTATGTGGTTTGCCAACGGTCTCACTGCCACTAAGACTTACTGCCTGGAACACCTACGTTGACGAAGTTCTTGACAAGGTTCTGGTAAGATGCTTAGCAAGAGACTGGCGATAAGTTTTAAGCATAAAATCTTTTGTCAAAAACTGATTTAAGAAGCTTGCTTTGTAAAACTTAACATATAATTAGCCGAGATTTCTGGCTCTGATACCATTTATCCCAGGTTATATCTTTAATATTATGTACTAAACTTAATATTAATAGAAAGAAGTGCTTCACCTAGAAGGTGATCGGATAGTCGCACATGGAGGGAAAAGGAAGAGAGAGAGAAAGGTGGTATCATATGATCTAAAGTGAACCAAACTTCTTTTTCTTTACCCAACTCAATAAAACTCTTCGCCGCTGATATCATGCTTCATATCTTAAGGAAACGGCTTTTAATCACTCCATAAAAGGATTGCCTCTTGAGGTAAGTAGATCATCCGTCTCGTTTACTATATAAAAGAGTGTTCCAACGCCCCCTCTTGCATCTACCCATAGCCCTCGGGCACCATTCATATATCAGATGAACTTTACGATCCATGAAAATGGTGTTTCATCCAACAAATTTAACAAACTCTATCCTCTTTAGTATATGTGTCAGGTAGAGCATTTCTAATTTAAGCGTCAAAAAACTTTCGAAAAAGATACTCCTTTATGGTCTTTCTGAAGGCCGACTTATGGTTTGCTAAATGATCTCAAATCATAGACGACGTACTCAGCTGCCGGTCCAGACACTTTTATCTCTCTAGAGAACAAACCTGTAAGATATAATGGTACATGGTATGTTACATTAGCATATAAAACAAATTAGTCGTGATTTGTTTTTGAATAATCAGTTCTTTAATAATACTTCTTCATGTATTATGTTCAACGCAAAATCAATTAGTTTTTATTTTTCATTTTTTACTATTTGTATTTTGTAAAACATTTATTCATGGTTGAATTGTGTTTGGTTGATGCTAAATTATGTTTTAATTTAGAAAAAGAAATTTTAATATGCATGCATAAAAAATTAAACATGTATGACTCCGGAGGAGTATTATATAGGTCGGTAGTAAAGAAAATTAATGTAGTTAAAATTTCCAAATATAAAATTACTACTCCATCACGTAAAAAAGACAGTAAGACCACAACTGGCTGTTAAAGTTTGCTTTTGATAACAGCCTTACAATCCAAGAGGAAAGGGGGAAAAAAACATAATCTAAGAAGAAAAAAAAATTAATAGACCAAAATACCATTAATTCACACCAAAAAGAAATACTATTTCTTCGGTTTGGGTGAGTCAAGGACACTTAGGGTTCCGACCAGGCCCTCCATAGTAGAAATAAGTCCCCCATACATTGTTTTTGCCTTGTCTTATATCATAACAAGCCGGGTGATCGGCCAAAACATGGAGATTTTTAAGAGGCAGGAGATTGTTGTCCCAATCAACGACTTGTAAGTTCCTAAAGTAAGCAGCTTTCTCAAAGCCTTCATCTGCGAAATGGCCGCTTCCCATCTGTGTTCCCGTGTGAGCGCCACTTGATCGACTATTCACAACTTCGCCACCAAATTGAACCATACTTGCATGACTCCTCAAGTGGCTGAACAAGAAGACTGGCCAATAGCCCACAAGAAGTCCATTTCCTAGTTCAAGCCACCAATGGCCATGTTTTGGATCCTACATTATGTTCCGATTGAGAAAAAATGGCAAACCATGTTTATGTTCAAGACAAAAAAATGTATATTATAGATGAAAAAAAAGGCATCAAGAATTAACCCAAAAAGTTTTTTGCAGTCAAGACTACACTGGCTTATATTCTGAGTGAATTTTCAAATAATATATATATATATATTTACATTTTAAGAAATCAAATAAATATTTTTCATATATAATAATTTCATAAATAGAACCCAACTAGAATGTTCTCCTTTAAAAGTGGTATCATCATGTTTCTGTTTAGTGATTACGTTTATATTTAACAAAAAATATTTTAAAAGTTAATGGGTATGAGTTAAAGGTAACTCAAAACCAACATGAATGTTTTTCTTTTAACATGAACTGTTTCCCGTAGATAATAAGGGTAACTAAATTCTGCATATGCCTCATTATGAGTTCTTCTATATAACCATCCCTTTCTAGTTTTTTTTTTTTTTTATAAAATCCATCCCTTTCTAGTTACAATTCAAACTTCTGCTTTATACGCAGGGCGTTAAGCAAAATTTCCCAAACAGGCTTCAAGTTGATGTACATTAAAGCTCTGCTTTTACTGCAGGTGTAGTGAAGTTTATATCATCAATTTCATATCCTCAATTAAATGCTCTTACCGAATCCAACCTTTTTATTTATTAACAATGTTTGGGAAAAGCTGAAGCTACCGTTGTTTTATCAGTTCAGTTTATGGAATTCGAGGTTGGTTGCTTTCTGTTTTTCTTTTTTTTTTCTTTTTTGGTTGATTTCTGTATTGTATCTCAAAGAGTTGTTCGTATTCAAAGTAAATTACTACATTGTAATTGTAATGCCTAAAATCAAGCATTTTCTCGGTCATTTTTATATTAGGTTCATATAAATGGTTAGTTCTCTTTCTTTACGTGAATTATGTCTAAAATACTAATCACCGCCTGAAATGCCTTACATTTCACTATGGCATAGTTAGTAAATTTACATTTATTTACATACTTTTTATGCTTATTGTATCATGTTCATATATTATATAGATATGCCGATAATCCTAGAAATCGTCACAAAACATCGTCATGTGTTAGAGGAATAGTTTAATGTAGAATATCCACTATCACAAAAAATTGATTTAGGTAATGAAACTAAGAAAAATAGTTGAGACACATATGAAAAGTAGACAGCGAAAGAATGATTGGAGGGTTCAAATTAAAAGTTTTGTGGCATAAGCTTATTTTTAATGTGTCGGTCTGAATTGAAGTTTTTTTAGCAGACATATGCCTAGCGTATCAAGTGCGCTATTTGACTGTACTATGTATGTCGGTCTTACTACTTTTTTAATCGCAAATTTTTGTTTTGACGTACTTATCTCGAAGACTTAAGTTTGAAGCAACCATAAATGAAGCATTAATTCCAGATAAACATTTTTAATTGTGTAGTATATGTATGTCAGCTTCTACTGCTTGATATCTAGAAAGAAAAGACGAATACCACCTATTAAAGTATTAATGCGCAAGATTACACATTCCTATTCATTTAAAAGAAAAGACCAAGTTCATTGGTAAATTCAAACACCACATGCACGTACTACTATAACTTGATTCTACCATAATTGTCATCAAACACTGTTATAAGAAAACAAAATACTACTCAGTTATATCATTATTCTATAAATTTTCAAGAACTTTCTTGTCTTTAATATTTTTTTTTAAAACTTTCTTGTCTTTATTGATGGAATTGATAAAATATTGTTAGAAGTGTGGAAATAAATGGAAGAAAAGAAGACTGACCTTCCAAATCATTAAACCGATATCAAACTGTCTTCCATTATAAGAGGACCTCGGGGAAATCGCTGCACCAATTGCAATTTTGTTGTTTGTTTGTACGAACCCTGAGCAGAGTAAATTGTAGCACCCAGTTGCTTGGTATGCATCTGTCTGCTTTTTCAAAAATTTCATTTCAAATTCTTTTCCATGAATGAAATCCACTAAGAAAAAAAGTTGTAAAAACTGAGAGACTTGTCTTTACCGTCCAATATGTGAAGAATCTTGGATAATTATCTCCGTATAGCTCAGGACTAACCTGCAAAAAAAAAAAAAAATGCTATGTAATCAGTAATCACCAACCTAATTATTATTTGGACCTACTCTATATCCCCACCACATTCTTTTGCACCTTAGTACTGTATAATACTAGTTGGTTAGTGGATCGTTACTCCATTCAGAAAATTGAAAGGTTAATTTTTTGGTCTTGATTGTTTCCGAGGCTAATTTTGTGTTTTTCGGAAACTATTAAACGTAAATTTTACAGGAAAAAAAAAATTATTTATGCTGAGAGATACTTTTTGAATTATCAATTACAAAAATGCACTTTTTGCAACTAAAATACTTTCTCATCTTTTTTCTTATCTATTTCATTTAAATACTCGAAAATACTCTTTTTGTCGAACACTACTCAATGGATTCGGTCTGATGGACACAGTTCGATGGATACAAATTGTAACTAAACGAGAGTTATAATACAATTTGATGGACACTAAGTGATAGTGACAATGGATGAACACCAACACATGAACGCGAATCAATTTTCATCACTTGGACACAAAAACATAATTGTCAATTCAATAGCAAAAGTGTCTCAATTTCAAAAAAATGCCTCTTTTATAATTTGAAACTCAAAAACTGCTTCTTAACATAAATAACTAAAAAAATAAAGACCGTGAATTTTTTTCTTCTTGTTCTTTTGCTAAAAGGTTTGACGTTTGCCTCTGATTGGTAAACCTTGTGGAATAGCTGAAAAACGTGATTCCTTAACAATTTTTCCAATCAGAAAACTTGTCGAAAAATGCAAAAACTCGAGTTCTGCAGAATTGCAGAAATACTTACAAAAAATACAAAGAAAATTTGATTAAGTCTAAAAGCGTGTTTTAGGTACATTATTAATCATTATTTTATATCATTCAATTATATAACTAATTATATTTTATTATTTAAATAAATAAAAATAAAATATTATATTATATATATTTGTATATTGACCAGATTATATCTATGGTTTAAAATTTGCAATATTTTTAATTTTTTATGTATTTTATGTTAATAGAAAAATCATAATAAAAAATAAAAAAAAATTAAAATTATATTAAAGTTATTATATTTTCTTATACTAATTAATATATTAATTTTTATGGTGTCGAATAATATATAAACTATGTTGTAAATAAATATTTAATTTTAATTATTTATATTCTGCAATTCCGTCTTTCCGCATAATTATCCAATCATATTAAAAAAATATATTCTTTAATTCCACATAAAAATCATTTCGCAATTTATTTTTTTTCACCATTCCACGGTTTTATTGTGTTACCAATCGAAGCCTTGTGTTTTTGTAATAACAAAAAAACTCTTGTTCTTAACCAAAAAAAACTAATATGATGAAAGTTTTGGATTTAACAATCAAGATATAATTTAAAGCTAGGTTGATGCTCTAGTTATAAACTTTTAATCAGCTAATTAAGTGTTAGTAAGTTGCCAGTTTTTGTTCTTCACTAAATCATCATAATTAATATTATATAGACAAAATGACTTGTACCTGCCAACCAGCTTCAATGGTGTTTAAGTCATGGCCGAAGGAGCCTGAGATTAGCCAAATCTGAGATAAACTAAACTCATAAGCATCAGTTACACGTGGCGCCCACACGTTAATGCTTGCTTTTGCTCCATAATATTGTTCTCCGTTTACAAACACAACCGCATGCTGCATGTAAATTAAGCTCTATTAGTACACATAGCTTTAATTTCTTACACTTAAAAACTTATTTTATGTTTCACGCTTTATTTTCAATATCAAGAAATAAGTTTGAACATTCAAAGACCCTTTTGTTTCTTTATCTCGATCGAATCATTTTGCTTTCTGAATTCTTTATTTGGAGAGTAAAATGCTTTATTGAACCAAAAAAAGCTAAAAGTTAAAAGTAAAAGCATACAGAAAAACATTATTATTCTCCCGCAGGATCGATTCTTAAGAGAGGTGAAGAAGAACTTACCTCGTGACCGCCTCCGGAGGAATCTCGTCTGATTGGTTTTCTCAATCTGCGACCAAACCGTCGAACAGAATTTACCCTCAAAACATCACTCTTCGTTGTTCTTCTCACCGGTATTGACCCAGTTGGACAACTTTCACCGGACTGACTCCATAACTGATTAAAACTTTCCTCCGTTGCTGTTTCATTTCCACTACTTGGCCTCTCTGGCAAAACCTACATATTTCCATTTATAGAATCACTACGCCACACGTTCTTGTATTGTAGAATCATTTAATTTTTCTCCAAAATTATAAAACTTGTAAAGTGAACGAGTAGATTAATTATTACCAGCGGTTTCTGCCCTCTTAGCTGAGGATGGTCAAAAGCTGGTTGAATATGAGACAGTACACATTCAATTACATCTCCATCTGGGCTCTAAAGTTGCACGAAAACAAAACAAAAAATGTTCTTATAAATTAAAATGAAACAAAAGATTTCATAAAAATGCTATGTTTGGTTACGTGGATTGTTTTGATGGAAGGCTTGTTGATTCTCTTGAGATATGCTTCCACTTTTCTTAGCCTGTGAATATCTCTGCTCGGTATGAATGAGGTGTGGTTTTTAAGATGAAGAGATGATCCGAGTAATAAGTCTACTTGAAGAGAGAGAAGAAGCAGTAACCCAATAAATTTAGATGTAGTTGAAGTAGTTGAAGAAGAAATTGAGGAAGAAGAAGAAGAAGAAGAAGAAGCCATAACTAGAGAACGTACGGGTCGTTTGGTAATGAAATGGATATGTCTATTTGTCACCTTGTGCTTTCTTGTTTTGTTTTAGCACAATAACAAAGAAGAAGTAGAAGAAGAAGGGAATGTGAGGATGAGAAGTTGGTTTAATCCCAATGTCCAGACAGAGGAAAACAGATAGCAAGCAAACAAAAACTACTAATGTTATTTTCGGTTTATTAGGGGGTTTCTTGGGGTTTGTAGATTCTCAGACGTTCTCTCTCTAGCTTATGTTTTAAGATAAAGAAATAATAAAGGAGAGAAAGAGATGTAGTAAGTGGCGTTGGGGTTGTGTTTCTGACAGAGTCTAAGCTTTGACAGGCACGAAATACCATTCAAAAGAGAGTGCTTAGAAGGTGGGCCTTTTGCCTTTTCCCACGTTTTTTACCCATAACCTCATGTCCACTTAACCATCATTTTACTTCCTCAAAATTTTAGTAAGTTGATTATGATTATTATCTTACAAACATGATATATAGATTGCACATTGATCTATCACTTTAGTACCAAATATTAAGGTTTAAACTCTGTTACATCCTCTTACTCTTATACAAGAGTTTCCGAAATACAAGAAATCACAATATATCATAATAAAAAAAAAATAATTTCCAACAGAGAATTGTTAGAAATTTCTGTTGAATAGTTTTTTTTCATAAATTTTATCTTAAAAATAATTATTAGTTATAAGTCGTGGAAAATAATTTCTATCAAAAATTTGTTAGAAACTGTTCGACAATAGCATTCTTTGAAAATATTCCAATGATTATAATTGCTTATTGCTTTACATCAGAAATATGGTAAAAAGCTTTCAATCGAAATTACTAATATATCTCTGAAGAAAAGTTTTACAATGGAAAACCAATAGCTTATTTCCTTGGTGACAATTGACAATTAATCTATCGGAAAACTGTTACTACTTGTAGGTAAATTTGGGTTTCAATTTTTAGAGCAAATTAGCTATGAAATTGAGATTTTGGAATTTTAAAACTAGAGAATGAAATCATAAATTTGGATAGTGTTCGGTAGTATTTTATAGGATTTTTATAAGGGATGTACTCGTTATCGCGAATGAACATCATTTCACGTATTCATTTATTGGGGGAGGAATGGCATCCATACAACTTGATGAGTCGACCATTTTACTATGAGTCAGCCTCCAATATGATAGAAATTTTTTTTTTCTCAAAGTTCGTAAAGGACGTTTTATCAAGGATAAATATTCAATAAGGTAGGTTTAGATGGGGTTTTTGTTGGATACTATGTCCGGGGATCTAAGTATCTGTCTGCTATTGGGTGGTAACAAGGGCGGTCATATGTTGATGTGTGAGTGAGATTGTAACTCTCTCACAACTGATAGAATATATAAATAATACGATCATACCTCTTATAGCACATCCTCTAGTCAGGTAGATGGGAATGTATCCGTGAATGGCTGCGACTAGTCGGGTTGTCAGGTAAGAACTTTTAAACATCTTGACGAGGGGATTAGGATCCAATAAGATCCTTGGTGGCCTCATCAGCCGGTCCTTTAATACTTACGGTATTATTTATCTCTTTAGCCTAGACCAGTCGTCCATCCCGCCGATCGCTGATTCCCTTTTTTTGTGGATCACAAGACTTTATCCCATCAAACAGGTCTGCACCCTATGAAGTTTATCAATTTTCCAAGCACCGGAATTGTGCGATGGCATAGAGTGACTGTAATGTCCCGCCTGCTATCGATCAAGGCAGATTGGATAGGTTTCCTATTGAGTGGTTTCTTGTGCTGATGTGGGGGGCATTTTATTAGTTTGTGGAAAATTGGTCCCAACAAGTGTCCTTGACTGCATGTGTCCTTTTCAAGGAGGCAGGGAGTTAAAATACACACCTCGTTAAAAATATGTGCAAACTTTTTATATCCGATAGTTTTTTTAGCACGAGGCCAGATTAGACGAGATATATCCTGATTGGCCGCATATCCTTAGAGAGTATGTGCTGTGTCACGATTGGAATAAGATGTTTTCAGAGAAACGTGAATTTTCCCGCGTGGGAGCTCTCTTTGGAAGGATTTACTCGCACAACTTTGCATGGCACTAGGCGATAGATGCACCTTATTTCCCTAACTGTTTTATAGAAAGGGTGCAGCCCTCACTGACCGCAGAGATCTATTCGAGGTATCATCACTTATAAGTCACCTGCCCAAGAGCCGCGTGAAGGCATCTTGAGAGGGAGAAAAGATTGTTCTCATGCGCAGGAAGCTAACATGAGAGGGAGACGTTGCTTTTGTGCACCATGTGTGTACAAACTTATGACCACCAGGGTGTTTCCCGGGAGAAGGGGGTGATAGTTACATTATTTACACAAGTTTTAGCATTCATTTAGAGCATCATTTGCATCATATAATTCATCAAAGTTGTCCAAAGTATATAGTTTGCATTCATATTAGAACCAATGAGTCTTAGCATGAGTCTTGCATAGTTTGTTGCATTTGAAGTGTTTCTTAGGTCTTTTGGAGGCTAGAGGCTTGGGAGACTTGGTGGAACCATTGGGAACGCAAAGGATGCAACTAGTACCAAGGAGAAAAGAAGAAGAATGAAGCAGAAGTCATCTGGCACCATATCGGGGAGTTCTATCGGTTTAAGGTGGTGTCACAAACCGATACAGCCAAGATAGGACAATGGAGAGTCATATCGGTTTGCCTATATTGATGTCTGATATATCATGGTTTTTATGGTGTTTAACCATGATATAAGTCCTTTTTATTGAGTCTTTTTGGTCTTTTTAGAGTCCTAGTAGAGTATTTGCAGGTCTGGAGCTTTTTGGAGCCTAGCATGTCTGGAGCATAATTGGAGATATTGAAGCTTTTTGGAGCATTGCAAGTTGAAGCCACGAAGTGTCCAACTCGGAGAAGAAAGTATGCATTTGGGTGACGCTCGTCACCACTTATGGTGACGCTCGTCACCCATATGGGAAAGGTCGTGGCTGGTTTCTAAAAGATTGGGAAGAAATTGCAGTTTTGGTCCAGAAGTTCTAGTATTTGCAAAAAAGCCCCATATCGTGTTTTAGCTTGTATATTAGGTTTTTCAGCCATTCTTTTGGCAGATATCTTGTATCTTATTCTTTTTGAGAGCTTTAGAGAGAGATTTGTAGCAGAGCTTATGGAGAGAGAAATCAGACTCCTTCAGAGCAGATTTTGAACTGCTCTACTTTCTATTTCTTATTTCTTTTATGCAATCTATTCTAATCATGATGTTTTCTCAAATCACCATGTCTGAGTAGTTTGTTAGTTAATTTAGGGCTTTTTAAAGGTTGAAGAAGAGTTTGTAGAATTGCTAAACTATTAGGAAAATCCATTGGTTCTTCATCTGTGCTTGCATTCATATCGATTTCTTAGACACATCATCTGGATTTCGAAACCCTAGGTTGTTTTTAGATGTGAGAGCATTATTAATCACCTGAACTAGTATTAGATGAGTAAAATAACTTAGTGCAAAGAGATTTGGCTTAGGAGTTTTGTGAACAATTGAACCCGATCATTACTGCATGTTTAGATCGTTAGGGTTTGCAAAGAGATTTGAAACTCTGTGATTTAGACATAGATAACTTCTGCAATGAGAATTGATTAGTTATATCTTTACGATTCATGTTTAAGACGGTTTTAATTCATTCCTGATTGGATGCATTCTACACTCTCGAATTCAACCTGCGAATTGTCCTGACTTAGCGCCTTTAGCTTTCTGAACTTTAAGAACACGCATAAAACGCCCACAAGCATTTATTTTACTGTTCCGCATTACATCCATTACTTAATGCTTAGCTTAATCAGAACCTGAACTCTTTAGTGTAGTTTACTTACTCCCTTGGGATTCGATAACCCCTTGTACTACAACTGCTTTGCTGTGCACTTGCAGTAGTTTTATTTGGGTAAAACCTGACCCCTATCAAATTTTTAGCGCCGTTGTCAGGGAGTAATAGCTGCCTATCGATTTTTAGTATTAGGATTTTGTCTAAGTTTTTATTTCTTTACTAACTTTCTGCTACTTTTCTTTGTGCTGGTTTCAGGTGTATGCCTAATCGCAGTACCAGAAGCAACAAAGAGAAGAAGCTTGTGACTTTGAGCATCGACGAACTTGCTAAGTTGGAGAGGACCATCAGGAAAACTAAGAAACAGTCTACAATGGTTGCTCCACTGATCTTGGTTGAAGATGCAGAAGGTCACTTGGTTGACAGAGATGGAAACATGAGGAACGAAGATGGTCAGAGAATTGATCAAGATGGGAATGTCATTGTTGAACAGCAGGTTCAACAAGTGGGAAAAGACGCTGGAGTCCCTGCTGCTGCTGATAACGCTGTTGGGCGTTTTGTTCAGAGGACTTTAGGAGACTACAACAGACCTGATCAGTTCTATGCTAACAGAGCTGCAATCCGCCCTCCTGCTTTCCAGAGGAACGATTTTGAGCTTAAGCCTGCTTATTATCAGCTGGTGGGACAGCACCCATTCCATGGCTTACCTCATGAGCATCCCATGGATCATATTGAGAGGTTTGAGGACTTAGTTTCAAGTGTCAAAGCTAATGGTGTTATAAATGAATTTCTGTTCTGCAAGCTTTTCCCATACTCGAGCTTCCTGGAAGGACTGATATCAATCCCAAGCACCAAGTTAATGCCATCACAGCCAGGAGTGAAAAGGGGCTTAAAACAGTGCAGAAAAAGAGGTTGAGTGCAGAACAGATCGTGCAACTCATGGAGTCTGAAGATGAAAATTTTGCAGTCTCAGAGGTGAGTGACGAGCGTCACAAAGGAGGAGTGACGCTCGTCACCAACTTACAAGGGAATCGGGGGCTGTCACAAGTGAGTGACGAGCGTCACCCCCTGGTGACGGTCGTCACCCACCCTAGAACAAAGCTGCTTCGCCTGTAACTGCAAATAATGGCCATGAGCAAGCGTATAAACCCAAGATATCATTCCCTAAGCATCCTAGGAAGTCTAAACAAGAGATAGAAGAAGCCAGATGCAAAGCTATGATAGATAAGCTGATTGTTGAGATGCCTCTTGTAGATGCAGTCAAGCTTTCACCAGCTCTAAAAATGTATGTAAAGAGAATGGTTGTGAATGGTGTAAGTCCTGAGGATGTAGCATTGCTTACCAGAGACATCAGTGCAATCCTTTTGGGTACAGTTCCAAAGAAGAAGAAGAAGGTGCCTGTTTCTGAACAAGTCAATGCCATCATTCAAAGAAGAGTTCCAGAGAAGTTATCTGATCCAGGGACCTTTGTTCTTGGTGGCTCAATCTCTGCAGGACGTTTTCCCCACTCTATGTGATCTAGGGTA